ACATTTTGCTTTCCAATCCAATTTCATTTGCACTCTGAATGAAAATTCAATAGCTCAATAAACCAAATTAAAAAAGAAAAAGAAGAAAATTAAAATTGATGAAAACAGAATGTGTCCATAATACTTCCTTTCTCCGACAAATTATTTCTTCTGTTTACCATCATGATATGTAAATATATCACCATAGAGAATGTATTTCTTTGTAGAAAGTCTTAATTGCTCTACTTTGATGCTCCCATATTTTATACACTTTGTGGTCAGCATTATATTGTTTTATGGAATTTATGTTTACATTATTTTATGAACGTTACAAAATTTTATTAACGAAATGTAGAATTAAGTTAGAAATTATTAAAATTAAAAATTAAAATTTAAACTTGGAACTTGAGAGGACAATATTTTTTTAACAATCGAAATCATTTTGATAAATCCTTAGATCAACAAACATGATTTCTTTGTTTGATATTGTTGCCTTTTCTTTCTAGTTTTTGCTGAGACTTTTTTTTTTTTGCATTCTACTCAGAATTACAGATTTTCTCCAGCAGAGCTGGTGAAAATTTTCGGTCAAATACCAAATGTTAGTAACGATGCTATATGGGAATTTATTGGGATTAGGACGATTATTTGCTCTATTATTATCTGAATCATCTAACCATCTCTTACATTTGCGTGTTCTTTATTCGTTATTTTTGCCGTGCAATGGACAATTCATGGTTGAAGCTATGGAATTCCAGGTTTGCTTTTTTGAATATTTTGATTTTTGTCTTCGAAAATTTTCATTACCTTCCGAAATCCATGTATTTTAAATCTGGGAAGATAAACATTGTTGACTTAACAGTATAATTTTACAACCTCATTTTCTTGTCGAATGTAATTTAAAAAAAAGAAAGTTAAACTTTAATCTAAGCATGTCTATAGTTCTCAACGTTGATCAGTGTTTAATTCAGATCCTTTTCCTTACATCACCAATTTGTTTGACGGTGTTTTCATTCGTGGAAGATCCTCAAATTTTGTGTCAATGGGATGAATACACTTGCATTGGAGTTGTTTGATGGCTAGCAAATATAGCAAAATTTATTCTCTTCGTAGTGGCATGCGTCAAAATATGCATATATTCTCATTTCTGTCACATTGCAACTTTACTTTATAAATGTAATTTTCATGGTTTATGAGAAGTCATCTATGATCTTTTTTCTTATTATTTATAAGTTACTCAAAGTGTCTTTTTCAGTACTTGAGGATTGCCGATGGGAATGGAAATGAATATTTTGAAATGGGTCGAGTTATTGAACAAAGAGCTTTTAAAGAGGTTAGCATTTTACATGCAATAGCAGTATGTAAACTAGTTTTACTGTTGAGAACTGTCATAATTTTAAAATAAGAAAAATGTCACAGTTTGACATCTTATAATATATTTCAAAGCTTCAAGAAATTGTTTTTACTCACGGAGATAGGGAAAAAGATATGAATAGTTAGCAAAGTGAAATTTATAAACAGTGAAATTCACTGCATGCATGCATGCAGTGAATGCCACGAACTGAAAAAAAAAGTTACTCTTCTAGTAATTTATTGTGCATGCAGTTGCTCTTGATCGATTATTCATTAAGGAGTTATTCTATGTAAGGCTTGGATCCTTAAATTGTTGACAATAACTCAATGACCACTTGATCAACGTTTTAAACGTCGTAACAGACTACGTGTTTTGCAACAGTTCATCCGTTTTAAATATGTTCTTCGTCCTACAATATGTCCTACATGTGAAAAGAATGTGAATGCATTAAATATATCGATATGTTTTGAAAAGCTCCAAAAAGGTCAATTTATTAGCTTTTCAACTATTAGACAAGTGAAAAGTAAGTGTCATTCAATTACGGACATGTAATTAGACCCCACGCAATGCTGAATAACGACTTAATATTAAGCCCAGTTATGCATGTTTATGATAGATCACTTTATAGTTTAAGATTGCAGGATAAGGCTAGCGAAAACTGATCAAAAGGATTATTAGTTAGATCGTTGAGTTCATTCATGGCCTTTACATTGTTTTTCAACTTTTTCCTTCATAACTTATATTTGTTTTGCTTTAAATTATTTCATGCATTTAGTTTCAGCATTATGAAAAACATATTTGCATGCCTAATTTACAGATTTTTTCTCATTTATATAAGTTTTATTTTTCATTCATAAAACCGGAAAGATTGTTAATCAGTGACAGTCATCCGATTTTGTCGCATTATTACCTGACGGTTATTTATCAGTTGTGCGTGAAACAGCTATTTATTTTCGTAGCCATTTAAGCATATACGGAGCAAAGGAGTTTATTTTAGCTACAAAAAACTTTTCATTCGTCTTGATAGATTCAGTTTAAATTCAAAATAGTTTCAAGAAAATTCCTTCGAATTCTATTTATCTAAAAATTCCAATGTTTTTAAAAAGTTGAAAAAAGTTTCAGAATAGCATCAACAAGGTTAAAGGATGATGTTAGCCAAGAATGAAGATGGTGTCGCTTTTGAGAAGCAAAAATTATTGTCTATGAAAAAGACAAAAGGTATGACAATTTTATTTGTACCAATTAAAGAAAATGATTATTTTTAGCTTTTGATCATTATTCCAGTATTTGATTTGCGAAAATATATTCATAAAATCAGTCTGATCAATCAACATAATACATCTAATATGTATGTCAATACGAATATGTGAGACCATAACATATCAATAGATATGGTCGGGTATTCGTAAACTTTAGAGATAATTTGCAATAATTCCATTTTACAAATTCAACTAACAGTTATTTGGAGCAATGCTCAGCTTTTCTTCAGCATATAAACACCTTTTTATTTCAATATTTTCAAGTAAATCTATTTCCAATTGATTCTCAAAAGAGTAATCATCGCAGATTTGGTAAAAATTCACCTAATGAGTTCATTAATAGTTTGCATATTTCTAATAAACGATAAAATTCATTGATTCAGACAGGAGCAAATCGGAACGATTTGAAAATATCACAAAAAATGTGTGTGAAGCAACAGAATTGGAACAGTTTACCGGATTTGTTGACTATGGTGTAATCTCATTCCGGTTTTCTATTCATGCATTTTATGAATTCTTGTTTAAAGATGTCATTTAAACATGCCTAACTATTGATTTCAAACCAGTTTCATAGCTTTTTCAAAATTTGAACACCGATATGAATCGGATGCATGAAATATGTTAATTAATCAATCATTATTTAATTCAAATAAAACATGCCAAATATATTTGAAGTTCCTCATCCCTTTTTTTGTTATAAGATATTTTGCATGATAGAAATTCGAAAAGTAATGAAGTGAAGTAATTATTAATTGCAGCGAATACGACAACAATTTAGCCCAAACGACATTTCGTTTCACCAGTCGTATTGATCATATATTTATCACCTTATCTCTTCTTGTCACTGTTAGTAACATGCTGCGATTTCCGATTATTTGCGCAGAAAGTGGTGGAAGTAATCATACTTTTTATATGATATAAATTTAATAAAAAATATTTGAAATTTGTTAATTGAAATTACACATTTTTCTAAATTTGCTTTTATTTCAGTTTATTTCAGTTTTTTTTTTGCTTCAGTACTTTTTGTATCTTAGTTTTACTTCATCTAAATTTAAATATCTCACTTTTATTTCAATTTACATATTTCACTCTTATCTAAACTTGTGTATTTCAGTCTTATTTTTTATCCCATATTTGTTGTGCCATATCTTTATCACTCTTCCAATCATTTATCTGGAAAATGCCATAAGTCAATACAGTTCATTTCCATCAGTACAACTTTTCCGTCATCTTTGTCCTGCTTTCGAAGGTATTTGAAGTACATTTGGTAGAATAAAACGTTTGCATTTTAGTTAGAATAAGTTTAAGTATTTTAGTTTAAGTATTGCAAAATTGTTCAAATAATTTTATAACGAAAACTTTGAAAGGACAATGAATTTTTTATTCCAATTACATTTTACCCAACTTTTTTAAAAAAAATGAAAAAGGTAATCTAGTCTATTAATATGATCAGCTCATGCTTGATCACGTGTAGTTTACAATATTGAAAAATAACGACATTCCTGATCCTTCTGATCGTATCAGTCAAATTGTCACGGCATTTAACACATTCTCTTCAGCCAGTTTATTGTGAAGAGGATGTTTCATAACTGATTTGAAATGATCAAAAGTTCATATCTGTATCCTGCTATTTTTTACATTTCAGGAATTGGTGTCGCAATGTTATTAGTAGCAATTTTCAAAATTCTTCTATTATCATATTCAGTGATGGGCATCTTTTACACATTTAAAAGTATAACTGCTGCATTCAGTTCCTTGTCACAAACTACATGGCTGGAATGTGTCTACGAAAGTCACTGTAAATTTCTTTTGTCAACTAATCAAAATTTTTTTTTGAAATTAAATTCAGCATTTATTTATAACTTTATTTCAGCTATTGTTGTCTACTCCTTTTATAAGTGTTATTTAAATTTAAAATAGCTTATCTAAATTCAATTTTTAAATTTTTAAAATCTCAAAATTTTTCTTTTTAAATAACTTTCTTTTAAAATTTAAGTTGAAAGTATACATAGCTTAACTAATGAAAATTTAAGCCAAATTTTTCTAAGTGATTGTTTAAAGTTTGAAACAAAACAAAAGACTTCCTTTCTATCTGTTTTCATTCCATAGTTGTTTATATTATTAATTTTATTTTCGATATATTATCCGTTAGGATTTTTTGAAATGAAATGTTTTTTTTTTGAAATCAAATTTGAAAATTAAGTAGAAGATATCCGTAAATATCATACTTAATTCAAAAAAAAAAAAAAAATTAAAAATAACTAATCATCGACTAGTCATCCTAAACAGCTCCATCTTTGATTTTTGCACAAAACTTTTCAGCATCATGCTATGATCCATATGTGCAATGCAATGAATCATCTGGTAATTATCAATATTACTCAGAATGTTACAATTTTCAAAATGATCAAATGATATCGAATTCCAATTACACATGGGAACAAGTTGTGATCGCTGTGACATCAACTTCTGAGGCACTTCGTGAATTCCCGCCAAATATTTATTGGTATGGTATGAGATTCATAAGTATTTATCTTGCATATCACGGATAAATTATTGGATTAGTTTGGAAGAAGTGAATAAACCGTTATATTTTATCTTTCATCATTGATTGCCTTTTAATTAACAAGTAAAATTTTATTTTTTAATAATTAGGATGGAGAAGATTAATAAACCTGGGAAGGTAAGCGAATTTTTCATCGCTTCGGGTACTATCGAGCAGGCAGTTATCGCCTTAGTGGCAATCCTTGGAATACGTTTCTATGCTAAGGTTACCTAAATCATTCTGCAAAATTAGTCGAATTAATGAGAAATCAACTCCAGTTAAATTTAATTAGATTTTAGTCTTCTATTCAGTATTTCAATAAAACATAAAAGATAAAGAACGAAGTTCTGATAATGGCAAAGTATTTTAATCTGAAATATCTGTTCTTTATGCTAAAATAATTATAAAATTGTTATAAGTAAACCAACTTGGCCAGAAGAAGAAAATTTCATATCATTTGACTTCTTCAACCTTTGACCTTCCTTCAGATAGCTCGGTTTGTTATGATATTTCCGAAATTTTGCATGTTGATTTGTATCATTTATGCAATTTCAAAAGTTGGCTTTCAAACTACATTTGATTCGATAGCAGAAGGTTTCTCGCCAGATCCGCAGAAATTCCTCGATTTGAAAATTTGGGTCACTGCTGCACTTCAGGTTTTTGCGTTGATTTTCTGTAACGTTGGAAAATTGCCCCAATAAAAATACTTTAGTATCAACATTTAGCCTTTCCAAAATTCTCTTAGACAGATGTCAAAATCTTTCTGAAGTGATTTCTTATTTTAAAAAAGTAAAAATCAATAAAATATTTTAATAAACACTTCTGAAGCAAAAGGAAAAATTGATATCTAATTGTCAAGATCGCTGGGAATTCGTAGGACTGCTCAGATCTAACAGACATCCTAAACAACGGTTATATTTATTCTACTGTTCAATGATAGTTTCAGTATCTGAATAAAAATATCAGTTTCAATTTTGTAAAAGAAATGATGTTGTATAAATATCCATTATTATTATATATTATTTGTTATCATTATTATTGCTAATCATTATCATTATTATTATTATCATTACTATTATTACTATCATTTTATTATCATTGTTATTATTATTATTACATTAAGAACGGATTGTTAAATTTCATATTATTCGTTGCACGCTGTAACATTTAGAAATATAAAAACCGGAAGAATATTTTTCCTCATTTTAAGGCAATAATAGCAACAAACTTGTTGGATGGCACATATATGACATTAGGCGCAATGAAGAATTTTCGGAATAACTTTATGTGGTACAATTTTTCCCTATTAATTATCTCTAATTAACAATAAGCAATTAATGATTAATATATTTGATCTCGCAATAAACCGTCCATAATCATTCTATTGTTCGCTTAAAAATTTGATTTAAAAAATCACTTTATATACATATATAAATATGTATTATAGCGATACATTTCTGATTATTATTTATGGAATGATAACTAATTTATTTGGTTGTTTTTTTGTATTTTCTATAAGTGGCGCAGCTGCCAAATTAATGTTTCCAATGAGCGCTGGAAAAAGCTGTAAGTTTAAATAAAAGAAATGCCAACATTTTCATACATTTTGATTGTCTTTTTTCTACTTTTTCTAAGCAAAATCTAATTAAGGTCTAATTTAAAAAAATTTAATTACAAAGAGAAGGCAAATGAATTCCAATTAAGATGAAATGCTTCCATGAAAATATAGCAATTCTTTGATAACTTCCAGTTTCTTCTTTTTCTTTTTTGTTTTGAGAATGCCAATTATTTCAGCCAAGAAATACTAAATCAGAATGGTTCTATTTATTTTACTTCATCTTAATTAGTAATAATTTAGCCTCAAAACAAGATTATCCAAATCTTCATTCATTGCATTATTCTCATTGTTACAGCAAAATATATAATTCGATGTAATTAATATACATTTGCTATCTATGCTAATCATTCTGAAAACATTTCATTAATTTAGTAGCAATGCTTTGGAAACATGGTGAAAATTTATACTTCATTATGTTATCACTGCTTTTTGCTAAAACTTCATTTGGTGCAATTCTTGTTTCACTTACATTCCTCTCACTTTTTCTATCTACAATTGGTGCACAAGTGAGACTGTTAATTATTTAATTTCAAAAATATGAAAAAAGAAGTTTAGAGAATATGAATGTTTGGTATATACCACAAAATGTTGTTAATTAATGAATTTTTTGAATGTATAGGCCGTTCAGTAGTTGTTCAAAGATATTAGATCATTTAATATTTGATAAAAGATATATGTTCAATTTCCATTTACTTTAATTTTTAAATTAACAATGTGCATAAGATGGGAAACGATACAAGATTACGATTAGAAATCATTAAATGCTGAAATAATACTACAGATAGTAGCAGTTGAAATGATCATTATGAGTGTATATCGAGCTGTAGTACGAATTAAATTTACCGATCAAACAATATCCCGAAATATAATCATTTGCATACATTTCTTATTCATGCACTTATACACTTTCATTTATGGTCGACTAGTAAGCTTAATGATTTTTCTTGTTTATTATTATATTCGTAATGCCAAAATTTTAATCTTAGCCAGTAATTCATTTTCCATACCTTCATCTCGTAATTAAATTTCATTATAGATATATTTATAAATTGAAATTTGTTATAATACATACTTTCATTATCTGTAGCTAATTACAGATATATCTTATTGTACTGTTGAATCGTTTAACTTTCCTATAATTGACTACTAAGGTTCCTTCATCGACCATCAAACCTTAAAACTTTACCAGCTATGTTTCTCTTTTTAGGCCATGAGTGATATAAAAGTTCGCTATTTTTATTTTGCGCCTATTCTCTCAATGCTTGCATTTTTTGAGTTATTAGTAAGCATTCACATTTATCATTTGAAACGATTAATTGTTAATTTACACACAATGCTTGGCGAACCACCGAGTAACCTTTGGAGGTAAATAAGTTTTATTCCTTAACAAAATTACAAATGTGTTAAAATAGAAATGCTGCATTCATTTGATTATCAGTCACATTTTTCTTGTGTAAGAAAAAAAGAGAAAGCATTTAAAGATGTTTGGGATATCCGGTGAACTGGTATTGGACCGTTTGCTGGTATATTATTACACCGGCACTCTGTCTGGTGAGTTTTTTATTGTTCTAGAATTGTAGTAGATTTCTAGTTGTAATCAATGTTGTTAAGGATAATAGCATGAAAGTGAATGAAATATTTTGTTTGGTGAAATTATTAATTTGTTATTTATTTGACTAATATTTCTTCAGATATTTGGAGGAATTGCTTTATTTATCATCATTAGTGGCAGGTTATACAGGTTGGCTATTCAATGTAAACTTTAATTTTCCTTTTCTTTTTGAGTACAGTAAGTTTGTTTATTTTAATGAGGAAAAAAATGCGTTTAGTCAAATCTGAACTAAAAATTTATTTATCACAGATAGTCGTAAATCGTTGTTTTTTGGCCCAACTGTAATGCACAAAGTAAGTTTTATGTTATTAGCATGTCCTAGGAAAATGACTAAAGCAAAACTAAATGATGAAATCTCATTGCCAAAAATTGCGACTAACCTTATTATACGTAGTAATATCCAACTATATGAACTTCTATTAGCAAACTTCTATTTTTAATTTTGGAAAAAAATTAAAAAGTAAATGTTATTCTGAAGTTTTCCAATATTTCTGATCTTCTTTGGAAATGAATGGTAGAAACACAAATGTTCGGCTATTTTTGTGCATATTATATTTTTTTCAAATTAAGATTTTCAATTTCCAAAAAAAAAGTTTCAAATTTTAACTTTTCAATAATCCTTTAATTATTATCCTCAATTTCAGTAATATCATAGTTTTAACTCTGGTAACATTCGCTCCACTAAGTGTTATCATTATGATTATGATGATCCATGTTTTAAAAGCTTATCGGGCAGGAAGAACTATAAGATCTATATTTGTTGCTGATCGTCATTGGGCACCAGAATTAGGCAACAATCGGCAACAAGCGCAATACGAAGAACGAGCAGCGCGTGCGATCATTTAATCATTATGTGGCTGAAAAAAAAAATTTTTTTTTGTTACCTTTAAATTATCCATTAAAATATTTGATTTCCAAATTCAAATAATTTCTACAATTGTTCACAATCATTCGAAATCAACGAACCAATGTAGTGTTGGGATGATAACTATGCAATAATTAACTTAATTAATCATTACGATAGATGATGAAATGGACGGCGTTATCAATGCTACATTGATAGAATTCAACACATACAAATGCATTACAATGAGGCAAAAGGAAAATTGAAATGATAAAAAAGTGATAAAATGGAAATTACCGTAGCAGAAAAACATTTGAGGGAGATATAGAACTTTCCAGAAAATTTCTTTCGTCATCCAAAATGCTCAGGAAAGATAATAATCACTATGACCGATAATTAATTTTACTATCCCTTATTTTGTCTTATTTTTACTACATTATTTATCCAAAGCTACTGAGAATAGGAATAAACGGTAAAAGAGAAATTGAAGATGAACTGAGCCAATTTAATCGGTAAGAAAAAAGAAACCATCGGTTTAAAATTTCATTCGAATTCCCAAAAGATTATAACGATTTGGTTTAGAAATTATTGAACTCATTAAATGGATTTTAAATCAATAAATCTTAGAAGGTATGTGATTTGTTATCATTCGCGTCGAAAAAATAAAAAAGTTTAGTCATAACCTCTAACAATGCAAAGTGAGTTAACCTACCCAATAAATTTAGCGAGTATTTTTCAAACAATCTTTGTAGTTTTAATTATTGGTCGAAATATTTTACTAATTTATTTGACCAGATTTAATGAAACATTTTTCGCTCTTGATGATATCAAAGTTAAATGAAAGACCCAAAGAAAAAGGTGCCTAAAGGATGTTTTTCGCATTATATAGTTTAAATTTCTGTCGCAAATTAGGGATTCAACAAGATGAATAATATCATTGCTATCAAATGGTTATCAATTGAAAGAAACTGATGATATTTGCAGTAAGAGCATTTGAATCTAAGGGGTCAAGAGAGAAAATAAGGAAACATCCAGTTCCAAAATAAGCAGGATATTTAGTCCCGGACTTTTCGAAAAAATGAAACAAGCTTTAATTCCTCGTTCTCTCTTCCTCTGGAAATATTACCAATCGTCTCGATTGTGAAGATTATTTAAAATCGTTAAATTACCTGTCGTTAAATTACCCATCACTGTCTATCAACTTATCCATTTATTCTTTCATTCATCTAAGGTAACGGATAATAAAAAGTTAACATTTTTACAAGTAAAAAACTCTAATATCATTAATTGGATAATTGTCAAATGTGCCATCATCGAAATGATTTTTCAAATTGTAAAGTCGGAAGTTAACCTTATAATAATTTGGTAACTCAAACAATTAGTTAGAAAAATGCACCTAATTATCAAAGAATATATAAGGTGTAAAAATAAATCTAATACAGAGTAAGAATTACCTGCATGATCGTCAAATTGTAAAGTCGAATATGGATGTTGCTGTATAACCGCCACTGTTCTTCTATCTTCAAAATTCGTTTCCATATCTGACCCATTCAACTTAGCATTGAATCCATTAATATTATTAAAAATTAAAATTTAGAAAAATATTTGTTAACTGTGCTAATTTTACCAACAGAAACATTAGAAAGGTTTTAGCATATTACATCTACAAAATAAATCACTAAATTTGAATGATACAATTGACCTATTGTAACGTCCACCACTACCATTTATTACAGGATAACACTATACATTGAGTAATATAAGTGAATGTCAATATCAGGATTTCGTCACACCGTGGAACATTTCGATTTCAATTATTTCATATGCAACACTAAAAAAGTACAAAATTATTTGTCTGAATTTTAATTACTATGACAAAGATTAGATAAAAATTATTACCATAAGAATATTGTAGGTATAATATTAGTGATTACTACTCATAAATAAAATTCTTTCATCACAAACTTAAGAACAAATATTGTTAAATACTTAGCTAACAGCAAATCAAAAGTTATGTAATTCAATTTAGTCATTTGTAATGAAAAAATATGTCAACCAATAATTTATCATAACGTAATCATATTTATTCATTTAAATCTAACAACAGTAAAATATCACACCAATAATTTACTGGTATCATTTCTATTTTTTCATCTCGATATATTGTTTCGTTAATGAAAAACCTTCATTTCTAGGTCAATTTCGTGAAAATTTAGGGTTTTTGCCAATTTTGGCAGGTGTTTTTCCGATTTGATAATTTCATTTCTATCAAAAATTCCTGATCACGATGTGCGCTAGCGAATACGTAAACGTAAACGTAAACGTAAAAAACACGTATGCACGTTCTCTTTTCGCGTACATTCAAATTTTATCAATTTATTTGCAACGTATATACTAACTTATTGAATTTGTAATCTGTTAGTTTTCAGAATTAGATTTGCAAAAATTTCTTAAATTTCAAATATTTGCTAGAGATTAATAGAATTTTCAACTTATAACTTGGACCTCGTGACTTGTGAACCTGCCATATGAAATTTATACATAGGCAAACTACAAGATCTGCAATTTGCAAACTGTAAGATCTGCAAACTGCAAGATCCGCATCACGCAAGCTGCAAGATCCACAAACCTATTGACACCACATTAACATTTCGGTACTTTCAATGGCAGTGCGTCCGACCGGGAAATACCGCAGGGCATGGGTCAGTGTACGTGAATGGGCATATGTGTTTACGGATGTGTATGTGTGTGGGTATGCTTCTTGTTTACGAGGTCGGGTTGACATTTGACCTTCTTCGCTTCATAATTCCTCGCTTCTCTGACTCTCTTTAAGCCTAAAACTATTTGCATTTTATTTTCGTTTAGATAGGTCCATTAAGTTTGTTATGAAAAATTGCCACTGATCAAATTAAGATGTCGCCACATAAGATGGCAATGGACAAAACTGTTGATCGCTGGCTGGATAAGACGTGTAACCTTTGTGACATACAAAAGAACTACTCCTCCTACAGAGTTCAATCTTCCATGAAAATAATATCATTGTTAATGATATTCATCTTAAATATGCTCTCTGTTCCCTAATTTTTCCTGATCAAGCTTGACCTGAAAGTAGATAGTAATGTCTTGAGAGGCAATGGAACGGTAGTAATTGAATGCTGAAAAGATTAAAAGCTTAATTTATGTCAATTTCAGTGATTAACAATGCGATTATTCACAGTATTGGCCAGTTTGTTCGATGACTACCAACGGACAACGTCCAAAAAGCTAAAACTTATCGATGCATACATGTTCTATGTCTTCATTACCGGTGTCGTCCAGTAAGTGTTATCTTTTGCTATCATTTCTATCAAATTCACCTATTTTGCAGGGAATGATGCTTATTTGTTCTATCGAGACTGTTTACATTTTTCTCGATATTACGGTTGCAGCGTAGGAAAAGGCTATAAATGCTTGGCAAATGAAGCGCTAGCTAAATAAAGGCATTCCTTTAGCTCTTAGAAGATATCCGAAGACTCAAATGTCCCACAAATACGACCCCTTATTTTTTACATTAAGAAGCTGGGAAATACATATTGAAGGGTTTGTGCACTGTTATGCACCCATTAAAAAATTGCTATTTATTATGTTTCAGCTAGCATTAAATTCAGTTCTCACATGGACTTCAAGATTCGATTGCTTCATTTTAAACAAATACTTTTGAATTCAACATTTTGGTCCAAAATTTGTGTTTGAACACATTTACTGACTCACTTTGAAAATCTATCAATTTAATTTTCTTACATTTTTTATTGATTATCTGATCCACAAAAAACTATATTTTACTTCCATATGTTTGTTTTTACACATCATAATGTTATACCTGTATGACACTTTCTTTATCCATTCTCGTTACACTTTGTCATGCAAATCTCTTCATCAATTTGATGTATTTGCAGATTTGTTTACTGTGTCCTTGTTGGTACATTTCCTTTTAACTCGTTCCTGTCTGGTTTCATATCGACAGTTGGTTGTTTTGTTTTGGCAGGTTTGCTTTTTTATTTTCTGACTTTGATTAATAAATCGAAGCTATTTTTTGTTTTACTGTTCCCGTACCTAACAAATGAGTTGACTTTATTATTCAGCAAGTTGTGCCTATCAGTTAGTTGCATTTTTTCTGATGTTTCCCGTTCAGAAATCTTGCTTTCCAGAAAGTTCTTCAAATAACCCTGAATGGGAAAATTTTTTTTCAGCATCACTTCGCATCCAAGTTAATCCGGAAAACAAAATGTTGTTTTCTCATATCGCGCCGGAGCGTGCTTTCGCAGATTTCATCTTTGCACATGTGATATTTCATCTTGTGATTGCGAATTTCTTAGGTTGATTTATTGGCACTGGTTTAGAACTGTTCATTGTTCACTTATGCTGTTCGTTTATCTTTTCATATTCGGTTTCCCATTGCTATACTCTTGCTCCTGTTAGGATGACCACCGTTCGATGAGCATATTGTTTTAGTTCGAAGAATCAATTCAAATGTCAGTACAACTCGATATCCAAAAAGGAGAATAGGCTAATTAGTGAAGAAGACATTTTGAAGATCTGTAATCATTACAAGCAAAAAACAAGGGAGTAATCTGCAGTTGAGTTTTGATTACCAGAGTTATGGAATTAACTACTACAGATGGCATTAATAAATTATGGAACTAGGATAGACTGTTATGAATGGAGATAATTTATTCAAGTAAATCATGAATTGTCATATTATCTACATAATTTGATTTTTAATAAATATAAATTATTATTGTTTGTTTATTTTCCTGTTTTCTTTTATGAATGTTGGAGTATCTGGCGATTTTTATTATGTTGTTGTTTTGAAGATGATATGAAATCTTATGTAAAATTTATGAAGCGAACATGAAGGTATCATGCACTGTTGGATTTCCATTACTCTTTCCTTTTCTTTTTTTTCATAAACCGTAATTTATATATGGTTTCGTTGTTATTTTTTTTTTTTGTCACATACAGCGTCGTTAGTTTCCATTTTAGAAAAAGATGATGGACGATGCTGCAAAGAAAGCACGAGAGGAATATCTCAAAAAATATCTCAGCAAAGATAACAAACGATCAGGAAAAAAACATAAGAAGGAAAAAAATAAGTCTGCCAATGGGTTTGTTATAGTCTGCTCATAGATAGAAATTTAGCGAATGCCAAAATTAAATCGTTTTACAAATTTTCGACCATCTGAGGGTTATTTTTTTTTAGCTTTTTTGATACTATCATTCTGCGCTAGTAGATGATCAAAAAATTAAAAGGCAGCGGGAAATTTAGCCAACGTATGAATCAAAAGGAAAATTCTACGAACCATCTATTTGATTCCTATAAGAAAGAAAGAATAATAACCTATTATTTGCTAGTTGATAAAATCAAAAAAAGAAAAAAGATCGATAAATATGAAACATTTCCAATGTTCCTTCTAGTTGTAAAATTGAATTAATTGCAAATCGTTTTGTGCAAAATCAATAATTACTTTTATTCAATCTACTGGAAGTTTTCTAAATCCGTAGGTTTTTTACGGTTTTATCAACGTTAATTATGTTTGTTGCTGTATAATCTTTTGGTTTTACGTTTTAATTTCAAGTTAAGTTGTATTCTATTTTATAAAGCATTTACAGAATAATTGTTTTCAGATTGAAAATTCATGAAAACGATGCGTTTGTTGATGTCGCACAATGTGCTGAGCAGACATCTTCAGATGATGAGAGTAGCAAAAATGTTAGTTTAAATCCACAAGTTATTGATGAAATAATGCTTTTTAGTGTATATTTTTGTTAACCCAGCATTTAGCTTTTGTATTGTCAAGCTTAAGCGTCTATTTTTGGATTATCTGGGACTCGAATCAGTATTTTTCATGTATGAATTGGAGTTTTTATTTTTTTTAAGCTCAAACGACTTTTACAGATTCTTCTCCAGTTATGAGTGGCTGGTAATATATGTTATTACTTCGTTTAGGGAGAAAAAAAATGCAAATTCTCCTTCATGTTGCAATGTAATTCATATAGAATAATTTAATGTGTAAAATTGGCTTTTGCACATTAAACATACAGCATTCTTTATTTTGAGATTGAAATACTGGAAAAGATAAAAAAGCTAGATTCAGTACCAAAGTTCAAGCCTGCAGCATTTGAAGCCGTTGAATTCAAAAGTAATCCTTTGCTTTTTCTAGACATTTTCATCTTTCCTTACTCATTTTCAAATTTGCATGAGATTACTTACTTTTTCCTCTATCCATCTTCATCTGTAAATGTTATTCAGACTTCATTTCCGTCGATATTTTTCAATTTGCTCCATTTTGGATTAAATTTTTTCATTTTTGCAGCAGAAACAAATGCACCTCGTAAACGACATGATTCTTCATCCGATGAAAATAGTTTGTTTTTGCTGTCTTCTTGATAATGATATCTCGAATTTTTTTTAACGAATTGTTGACCTTAGAACATAATGAATTGAATTTATCTATTCAAACTATGTGGTAAAGTTTCTTGGGACGTGGACACTAGTCGCCCGTGCACAAATCCCCGAAAAACTGTGCTCTCCTGATTTGTTCATTTTACCTGATGATGATATTTCTCTGGGTCGCAGATCCACACACGATGGCGCTCATTTCTCCATCGAGAATATCGCAAACGTTGTGCCGTTGAATCGTTTACCGCTTTCATATAAGGGGTGGAAATGACTGAATGTTAGGGATATATATTTGGCAAATATTCCTCTAATAATGATATCTTTTTCAGTTACGCCAGATGAAATATCTCTCCCGACTACCAGTTTAGAGTTACGGAAAAGTGCTTCAGTCAGGAATAAGAATCATTCTGGTCAAGAAATAGTAAGACAGACTAGTGCCAATTCAGATGTTTCCTTTCCAACTCACAGAATAAAGGATGAACCACTTGACTCAGACGCTTCACCACCAAGAAGGCCAACGAATTGTGCAAGACGAAATCGTAATAATAATGAGGATCATTCATTTTCGAGACGGAAAAAATCAACAAATGATCCCAGATTAGATATTTCACCGCCACGTTGCAAAATAAAAGATGAACCGCCTGATTCAGATCCGTCACCACCAAGAAGGTCAACAAATTGTATGAGGCGAAATTCTGGTGATGATGTTTCGGATGCTTCACCTCCAAGACGCAGAAAACGGACAAATAATTCTGACTCAGATCTTTCTCCACCACGTAGACATGATGATTATGCTGGAATTCCAAACCGTGGGAAAGACTTTATGAATTATGGACATCAAAAACGAAAGCGAAGTGATAGTGCCGACTCTTATCGGCATAAAAGTAATTGGGATTCTGATGCATCGCAACATGACAAAAGCGTTGGAAGACGAAAGCACTGTAGAAGAGGACGGGACGGAAGTTCGAGTAGACTTTATAGGCATCATGAAGGTGAGTACTGAATCATAATTTATGCTGAATATTTTATTAGATATTCTCGATATCTGCTATTCGGATTCCACTGCCTCATATGAAATTATGTAAGAAATTTGATTTAGTTTTTAGTGTGCTGAATTTGTCTATCTGCGTTTTCATCCAAATAGAATTCAGTTTATTATTGCCACTAAAAAAAATAGTCTTGAAGTTCTCATGCTGAACATCTTGTTGGTTTTAATGCTCCTAATGTTGCTACAAGTATAACTTCCTCTTTATACTTATGTCATAAAAAAGATGCATTTTTCGTTCAGTTTTGTATTTTTACTAGGTTCTAGAATGTTCAAACATTCATAATCTACACTCTTAAGTTTCCATAATAGCTTGGTCATATGTTAGTCTTATGTTCTTCAGATGTAGTTTAGCTTCTAATACATTTATACGGAAGTAGGTTAACGCAGGTGAGTAATTTCTGTCCCACCGAACATAATAACACTTCACAGGTGGTCAAGGACGAAGAGATTCTCCTGATGATAGTAAGACATCACATCGTAGTAAACGAGATCGAGCAAATGAGAATGATGTTAAACCGATGACTGGGAAAAGCGCTGGTCTTAAAACACTGGAAGCACATCGAGAAGAAGTGAAACGACTTCAAGAAGATGAAACAAGAGTAAGAATTTTGATTGCGATCCTTGGAAATTTCGTTTAATCTCTCTGTTTGTACTGTTTTAAATGAGACTTAGTGGCAGATAACTTGAAATAGATTATTTAAATAGATAGCTAGACTTCAGTAACATCAAAAATTTGTTCGATATTGCTCACTTCACTTGTCCTAGTTTTTTTTTTTTTATTTTCATATATCCCCATTTGATTTCTTCTACTTATTACTAAAATTTAACAAAAGTTGGAATTCCACTCTACACTAAAGCTGTAAATTATTAAATAATTGTCATTTAAAGTTACTCAAAAGTTGGGAAGGATACACGAGCGGTAAAGATGTAGAAGCTATTCGTCGTACCAAATTAACTGGTAAAGGACGTGAAACAAAGGAAGATCGTGAAAGGAAAGAACGTGAAGCTAAAAAACAACAAGAATTAGAGGAGAAATATAAAAATTGGAACAGAGGTTTGCGGCAGTTAGAAGAGGTTTGCTTTATATTTTTTTTTCTTTTTGCTACCATCGTATTAGGATATTACTTCAAACACTGTGAAACTTAATGTGAACTATTTTTGTTTTATTTCAAAAAGTTTTCTTTTTTTAGCGAACCGAAAAATTAAATGAAATGGCTCGAGTGGCACAAGAGGATTTTGCTCGTCATGTTGACAATGAAGCAATGAATGAACACTTGAAAAAGGTATTTTTAATAATGAACAGATGTTGTCACATCGCTTTAGGTGTGAGACTTTCTTTTGCGCACAACTATACCTATTTCTCGATGTGAGAACAGAATGCTCTACCTTTTTCTGTGGGCACTGGGAGAAATTTTAATATACGCAATAAAACAATCAAATGTGAAGTGGGAAAAGTACTTCAAATTATTTGTGTTTTTCATCTCATAGTAACAGTGGCACTTAACTTTCTGTTGTTCGTGCTGAAAATTTCCAGCTCTATCTTTTTCATCTTTCTGACACCACCATATTTATTGCCTCTAATTAATTAGAAGCAAATTCAACATGAAATAAACTTTAAACATTGGTCGAAATCTGAAGTAACGTGTGCAAGAAATTTTAAATAATGATTATATTTTTCAGCAATTGCATGAAAAAGACCCGATGTATAAATATGTGAAAAAGAAAAAAGAAAATTCAGAAATAAAAAGTGGGACTGGTAAGAGTTACAGATTATGAATCTAATTTTTTAGAAAGCATTTGGATACTGAGATCCTTTTTCTGTATTATTTTTCAGTTTTGATTCTTATCAAAGTTTTTCTGTTTTGTCATTATTTCGTTTTATTTCTATTTTTTTTCTATTTTCAGCATACCCTAAATACAAGGGAAGTTGGCCACCGAATCGTTTCAGCATTGCGCCAGGTTATCGATGGGATGGAGTGAACCGTTCAAATGGTTTTGAAGATCGAATAGCTGAAACGGCTAATCGAAAAGTAGCTCAACGTACCGAATATTATGAAAATATAGCGAAATATGAAGTTTAATTTTCGTGATACAAATTTTGTTTGAATTTTATATGCGAAGCTCTTGATTACATTACTGTACTAATCAATTTCATAATTCATATGATTGGTTAGCTGCAGTCTTGGATGGGCGCGTGTGTTATTGGCGTATTTTGATCTTTATTTGCATCTGTGTTCTTTATTTGAACATGATTTGAAGTGTATTCATAAAAATGAAGTCCAAAAAATTTCGCGACAACATTTCAGAAATTTAAGGGAAGTTCTTTTTTTGTTTCAATCGCTGTCGCTTTTTTGTTTACTGTAAGCTTCTTCGTGTTTTTCTAACAGCCTGATTCATTTATATCGCCGTGATATAAAAGTAGAGAAACAGTTAGACAATTGTCGAAATATGGTGGGGAATATTTTCCAACAAATACTGCAACCAGTCATTGCGGTTTATGCAGTTGAACTCGCAACCAGCGAAGGAGATTAAACAGAATGTTTTAATAATGTTAGTATCATAACATTTTCATGAAATTGGCAATGATCTGAATAATTATTAATAGGTAATAAAAGTATAAACGGTTGTTGTTCCATAAAGATACAAATAATGAGTCAGTCATCTTTCTTTCTCTCTTATCAATTGATTTCGTTTCTACTAATCGATTAGCTAATGAAGCATGTGCAATAATCGGTTATTATGCAAAGTTAATTTAAAATTTTTTTCATAAAATACCTGTAGGGATTTGTTTTGCTGATTGATTCATTCGATTCATTTGACTACGGCGGTTGTATAAGCGGCAGAGTTTAGATTTTATGGTAAAAATTGCCAATGGAAATGTTGAAGGCGTGCATTTCTTACTTTTTTTTGGTCTATAAAAAAGTGATAGCGATGAATTGATGATAATTGCTGTGAAAAGTTGATTACCTTCGTTGTGGAATTTCTAGAAGCTTATTTTTGGAATTTCTTTGTAGGATGGTAGAACTATTAAAATAGCAAAAATATGACCCTTGTTGTTATAATTAACAATTAAATTACTTTACTTCCTTATAGTTTAATGAATTACGAATTAATGAATTATGAATTACGAATTATGAATATGAATTATATTGTTTTGATATGATATGATTTTGGTCGATAAAATATTTTGGGTAATATACTTTTCAGAAATTACTCGCTAAGAAGTGTACTTCCATACATGGAGGTATATCGAGAAAAGCATCAGTTACAGGCTATAAAGAAGGAGATACTGATAAATCAACACCCGAGAATTCGCAACTTATCCAACATCATGAGCAATTTTCATCTTCCCATTCTGATGCTATACTTAAAACAGCAGTTGAAAGCGATAGAAGTAAAATTGAGGAGAAGTTGATAACAGGAGGTGATGCAAGTAAATCAACACTTACTACAAATTCTATTAGTTCCTACAAGCGATCAATGTCACCGGATACGATGCTACAAGGTGCAACTCCATCTAGTGCTTCCATTAGTGTAAATTTTGCTTTTTTTTTGTTCAATTTGAACTTTTTTCAAAATTAAATATTTATAAGTTTGTATTTCGTAACATTGCTTTATCCTTTTATTAGTTAAATTGGAAATTAGCTAATTTCAGGAAACATTTACTTGCAAAAATAGAAAAAATTAGCATTTCATGATTTTTTCTAAAGTATTTTACCGGTTATGTTTTATTGATTTCCCGTTTTTGCGTACCAAAATATCCTTCCTTCTTCTTGACTGCTCTTTGTCATCATAACAAAGAAATTTGATTAGGTTTCATTTTGATTATAAAACTTTCTTCCCGTTGTACTTATCATTTCTTTGTCATAGGATCTAATCAGGCTTCATCTTCAACTGATCATATTTGAACTATTTTCTGTAGAATTTATGAGATGCCTCATATTTGAACTATTTTCTGTAGAATTTATGAGATGCCTCATATTTGAACTATTTCAGATAGAACTTATGAGATGCCTTATTTAATTACCTTTTATTTTATTCCAAGTATTTAAAAGTATAGTTGTAACTTAACCTTGATGTTTATGAACCGTTAATTTTTAGCCTGGATTCAGCCAACGGACAGTTTCGGTAACTTCCGACTACAGTTCCGATCTTTCATGTATGAAGATTTCATTTTGTTTTTGCATCAAATTAGCTAAAATTTGGTATTTTCAAATATTGCAGTAATAGTTATTGTTTTAATAGCTTTTTTTTTGACATACGAAATCTCACGCAGAAAAATCTCTTCATAATTCCAATTTCAAAAATTGCGAGACGTATCATCTTTTTATAACAAATATATGGAGGGAAATGATAGAAAAATCTGTTTTTATGCAGGTTTCATATTATAGTATGAATTTGGTATTAAGATATTATTGAAACGTATCCGTAAAAGTTGAGAAATTGATACAAGTTGAGTGGAATGAATCGGAGTAATTTCCGTATCAGCTTAGGATTAAAGCAGATTTTTTCATCTTTAGAAAATGATAATTAAAACTATTGCTACTGTAAAAGATTACGATTAATTAATATGGAATTTGTGAGGCATATATTAATAAATGGCTTACTCATAGCTTGACCAATTTTTTTTCTTTAAATTTTATTTGTAATATCTCAAAATACAGTAATAACTTTGCTGTAATGTTGATTATAAGTAAATTTTAATTTATATTTTGGAAACTGGTGGGAGAAAATCTCCAAGTACAATCATATCAATCATATGATCCGTTCATTATTCGGAGATTTAATGTGTTGAATGGCTGAATAATCCTTCCAATGATTTATGAAAAATCATTTCAATTTTTGTTCATTAACTGCATGATTCATATTTTTTGTTTTTTTTTTTTGCAACGAAACGATTTAAATTCTAGTTTTTGGAATGCAAAGTATGATGGCGATACGTACATCAAGTAATATTTTGATAGAATATTGGTGGGATTTGACACCTCACAACATCCATATGATCGTAATCAATTATCTCTATGATAGCAACAATAGATGGTGCAATCAGTGGTAACACATATTTGACTATTAAAATTTGAAATTTTTCTTTTTTAAAGAGAATTTAGTTTGACAACTTTGGTAATTATAGCATTTGAAAAATATGCATTATCTGATGTAACCATTGACGATTTCATAATTTTTACATCCTAAAATTTCATAATTCTTATATTTCAAAATTTACACCATCCATATAACTTTGCTTAGGCGCTGATAAAAAATTTCATTAGATAATACCTAATTAAAGAATACAGATTGTCCCATCTTTTTTTTTCTGTTTTTATTTTTTTATTTTTTTGAATTAAAGCATGGAGGGTAATTTTCATGTAACTATGCGATCTTTTTTTAAAAAGTTTTCAATTTTTGTTAATGAATTTGGCAGGGGTGAAAGTTTTCAGAAAATGATGAATTAATTCGAAATTTTTATTAAATATAATGAAATTTATTTCAGTTGGACATTTTTTGAGAAAAAATTAGGCATTTCACGAGTGGTAGGATTTTATATATTAACTGGAATTTGTTTTTTGTACATTCTAAGTGGAGATCTGGCAAAACTTCTATATTATGTTATGGTATCTCAATTCAATACATGCATATATTTCTTTCTCCTTATAAAGTTTAATTTCTATTTTTACCTTTTTTCAAAGTACTGGTTTTTTTTAGGAATATGAAGTTTTGCTTTGCTTTTCTATTATTTATTCACTTTGCAGGGTATTGGATATCCTATGTATAAAACATATATTACATATGAAAAACGTGGAGTTAATGTATGTCGAAGTTGGCTTAGGTATAATGTATTCTTCTTCATTTTGTCATCATTTATTCATTATAGCAAATTATTCAACTAATAAACATATAGGAGTGTTACAATAAATATAATTATTCTGATCTTAATTAAAGCAACGAAGATCATAGATAGTCCTAAATAACGGATTATTGTTAAATGTTAAATGATCGATAGGTTACCGACTGTCGTATTTCTAATTAATTAATTTAGATCCTTTGATTATGTTCGGATGCAATCAAATCTGCTATGGGAAGGCGCAATTTTATGCTAGAATTATTTGTTGTAATTATTTTTTCGTAATTGGGCAGTTATAATTATTTGTAGGTTAGATGAAATTGCTAGGGATCATGTTGGTTTAACGGATCAGTGGCGATGATCGTTAATAATTGATCTGAACCATCTGATATTTCATTAGTTTGATGAATGGCTTTCCTTCCCGAATAACAGTTGAAATAATCCTTTGGTAATGAATCAGTGAAAAATTAAGTATCAACAAATTATCTCTAATTGCAAAAGATTAACAACAATGAAATACTACTTTTTTCGATAAGTGTTATAAATTTGAAAGAAGTTTATGTTATACATTGTAGTTTAAATCTCGGGAAAAGTTTTTGTTTTAAAGAAAAAAACTTCTCGGTTTTTTTTGAAGTTTTTTAAAGTTTGAAAATTCACGAGCGGTATTATTTGCTATCTTCTCCTTCCTTGAAAAGATTACTATATTTGTTTGTGGAAGCAATACAAATGATTATTCAGATATTGGATTGTTTTTGGTTGGTTAGCATTATTTGATGTATTTTTTCATCATTATCTAAAATATTGGACAGTATATTGGTCAATTAAAATTATCATTACCATCTATTTATTGATGCCATTGGTCAAAGGAGCTGATTTAATTTATCGTGATTTCATCAAACATTTTAATAAAAATATCGAACAGAATATTCAACAGATTGTTGGAAAATGATGATTGATAATCATTTATACATGTGTCATTTTCTTTTCTATTAATAATAAATATTTTTTATTTTAATTTCAAAGTTGAATTGTAACATATGTGGGTATGTATCTGCGTATGTGTGTATGTGTGTGTGTGTGTGTATGTGTGTATGCCTGTGTATTTGTGTAAAATATATTTTCTACTCATTGCAAATATGAAGTTTTAATTTGAAGAAAAAATTTTTTTTCAGATTTCTTTTTAAAATCTTTTGAAAAAGAATGAAGTTAAATTAAAATTGAAAATTTTTTAATTATAATAATATTGAAAATAATGTTAATTTCACCTTCCATTTTCTCCTTTCAGCTACGTTCTATAGTTATGAAAAATGAAATGAAATGCAAATGAATTATTCTAAATTTAACATCAATCCAATAACAGCACTAACTCTGATAATTATTGCATCATTAATTAACAAATATAATTCAATTCATGCATTATTGATTATCGGACAGAGAAGGAAAGTTTTTAAAAAATATATGTTGAGAAGAAAAAAAAAATGTTTTATAAAGATCCATGCTTCATTTATTTTTATATTTTAAAAATTTTTAAATTGTAAAATTTCTCTGACACTTCCTTTTCTTCCTCTTGCTGTCTGTCTTCCCTTTCCTTTTCGTTGAATACAACTCTTTAGAATAAATTA